AAATGCAGCAGTAGAGTTTGGCATTTTCTGTCTTTTAATAGAAGTTCTTGTCCTTGACCACCTACTTCTCTGCTACTCCATAACTACTCATGTCCTTTTACATTAACTCTTTTCAATTGCTATTTGTTTAAAAACAGGTGCTGCCAGTGGAGAGTTCACATTTGCAGTTCACGTGTCTCATGAGTTGAAAGAGGTTGGCGGCGAGCATTTCCTGAACGAGAAGACCACTGTGTTTTGGGACTATGCTGACATTGACGAATTGTCATTGCTGGACCTTCCTGAAATATATGCGGCGTGTGGTGGGATGATTAAAAATCCGAAGTTCTCTTGGAAATCTCCAACCAACGATGCAATGTCGGAGCTTACTAATGATGATGATATTCTGAGCATCGAGCTGTATGCTTTCTCGAGCAATGAGGTTGAAGATGGAAGAGTCATCGAACTGTAGCCAATGATGATGGAAGAGTCATCGAGCTGTATGCTTTCTCGAGCAATGAGGTTGAAGATTTCATGGATAGTGAAGTTGAGGAAGTTGGTGCTGGCAGTTTGAGAAAAGGCAAAAAAAAAAAAAAGCTTGCTGGAGACGATTTGGAGGAGGATTCTGAACATGACGAGGAAGAAGATAGTGACTATTTGGAGGATACGGAAGGAGATAGTGATGGTGACAATGTGCAATTTGCTGCAAATGTCACTCAAGAGGTGGAAGCCGACATGGGTTTCTTTGAAGGAGATGATGGGCAGCCTGAAGTTGAAAGGGAAGTGTCTGATAATCAAGACTCAGATGATCGGAGAAGCATAGTATGCTCAGACTCGGATGATGGAGACCTATCTCAGGAGTTCTGGGTAGATCGAGACATGGAGAGGCCGACGTTTGCTGCTTCCCAGAAGTTCAGGAGCATAGGAGTCCTAAAAGATGCAATAAAGCAGCATGCTTTCGTCGAGAAGAGGCCAGTTCACTTTAAAAAGAATGATGGAAAGCGGCTGCAAGTAGTATGCCAACCTCCATGGATTGGTACATTTGGGCTTCGAAGATGAGTACTGAAGAGCTGTCCAAATCAAGAAGTGCAAGGTTGGGCACTCACCCGATTGTAGGAAGACGTTCAAGGTCAAGTACGCCGCTGCAAAGTTCCTCGGCTCCAAGCTAAGTATGAAGATGGCATGCGATAGGAATATGAAAAGGGCCTTGCTGAAGCACATTGCGAAAGAAGATTATAAGGAAGACGTGAAAGACGCCAAGGCTTGGAGAATACGTCATGCAGCAATTCAGGAGGTTCGTGGGACTTTGCAAGATCAGTTCAGAAATTTGTATCATTATGCCGAAGAGTTGAGGAGGAGCAATCCCAACTCTACGGTCATAATTGAGCAGAGAGATCAATGCTTCAACAGGATGTATGTGTGCTTTGCGGCATCCATGGTAGGGTTCAAGGCTGGGTGTAGAAAAGTGTTAATCATCGATGGTTGCTTCTTGAAGCACTAGTATGGAGGGCAACTACTATCAGCGGTTGGTGTGGATGCCAATGACCAATACTACCCAGTTGCATTTGCTCATGTTGGAGTTGAGAATTAGGAAAATTGGGAATGGTTCCTTGAATTGGTTAGGGACGATCTGGATGTAATAGACAATCCTCACTGGACTTTTATGTCTGACAAACAAAAGGTACATGCTATATTCAGTTGCTGTTTTTTTTAAGTGATTGACAATTGATTTTAAAGGCTAACGGTTGGTTTTGTTTGTGGTCTTTAGGGTCTAATGCCAACACTTGATGAATTGTTTCCAACGTGTGAGAAGAGACACTGTGCAAGACACTTGTGGACAAACCTCAAGGGTGCTCGTGGAGGTGGCCAGATGTTAAGGGACCTTTTTTGGACAGCAGCTAGGGCGACAACCGTGGCTGAGTTCAAACATGCTATGCAAAATCTGTTTGACTTCAGCAAGCCAGCCTACGATTGGCTGATAGATAATCCCTTCCATCATTGGACCAGGTCCCATTTTCTAACTAACACCAACTGCGATATTCTCAGCAGCAATGATGTAGAGAGTTGGAACAACACTATATTGGAGGAAAGGGATTTTGGTCCGATTAGCATGTGGGAGGGGATTAGGAAGAACTTGATGCTCCTATACGGCCGTAGACAAGAAGAAATCAACAACTGGCCTGGTCCTTTGACGGAAAAAATTGAGAAGAAGTTGCGTTCGTGGGAAGAAGTTGTAAAGTGGACATTTGTTTCAAATGGAAGGGGTCAGTTCGAAGTGAGGTGGCATGACAAGCAGGTTGTGGTCAATTTGAAGGCGAAGACACGCACATGTCGACGATGGGAGTTAACTAGGATCCCTTGTCAGCATGCTATCCAGGTAATTGGTGTGGGAGCAAATTGTATCTATGATTATGTTGCAAATTGTTACACCAAGGAAACCACAACAGCCATATATGAGTAGTCTATTTCGCCAACCAATGGTAAGACTATTTCACCTTCAAATTGACCACAACCTGCTTGTCATGCCAACTCACTTCGAACTGACCCCTTCCATTTGAAATTGCTGTCCACTTTACAACTTCTTCTTCCCACGAACGCATCTTCTTCTCAATCTTTTCCTTCAAAGGACCAGACCAGTTGTTGATTTCTTCTTGTCTACGGGCGTATAGGAGCATCAAGTTCTTCCTAATCCCCTCCCACATGCTAATCGGACCCAAATCCCTTTCCTCCAATATAGTGTTGTTCCAACTCTCTACATTATTGCTGCTGAGAATATGACAGTTGGTGTTAGTTAGAAAATGGGACCTGGTCCAATGATGGAAGGGCTTATCTATCAGCCAATCGTAGGCTGGCTTGCTGAAGTCAGACAGATTTTGCATAGCATGTTTGAACTCATCCATGGTTGTCGCCCTAGCTGCTGTTCAAAAAAGGTCCTTTAACATCTGGCCACCTCCACGAGCACCCTTGAGGTTTGTCCACAAGTGTCTTGCACAATGTCTCTTCTCACACGTTGGAAACAATTCATCAAGTGATGGCATTAGACCCTAAAGACCACAACCAAAACCAACCGTTAGCCTTCAAAATCAATTATCAATCACTTAAAAAAAAACAACAACTGAATATAACATGTACCTTTTGTTTGTCAGACATAAAAGTCCAGTGAGGATTGTCTATTACATCCAGATCGTCCCTAACCAATTCAAGGAACCATTCCCAATTTTCCTTGTTCTCAACTCCAACATAAGCAAATGCAACTGGGTAGTATTGGTCCTTGGTATCCACACCAACCGCTGATAGTAGTTTCCCTCCATACTCGTGCTTCAAGAAGAAACCATCGATGATTAACACTTTTCTACACCCAGCCTTGAACCCTACCTTTGATTCCGCAAAGCACACATACATCCTGTTGAAGCATTGATCTCTCTGCTCAATTATGACCGTAGAGTTGGGATTGCTCCTCCTCAACTCTTCGGCATAATGATACAAATTTCTGAACTGATCTTGCAAAGTCCCACGAACCTCCTGAATTGCTGCATGACGTATTCTCCAAGCCTTCAAGTCTTTTACGTCTTCCTTATAATCTTCTTTCACAATGTGCTTCAGCAAGGCCCTTTTCATATTCCTATCGCATGCCATCTACATACTTAGCTTGGAGCCGAGGAACTTTGCAGTGGCGTACTTGACCTTGAACGTCTTCCTACAATCGGGTGAGTGCTCAACCTTGCACTTCTTGATTTGGACAGAATCTTAAGTACTCATCTTCGAAGCCCAAATGTACCAATCGCATGGAGGTTGGCACACTACTTGCAGCCGCTTTCCATCATTCTTTTTAAAGTGAACTGGCCTCTTCTCGACGAAAGCATGCTGCTTTATTGCATCTTTTAGGACTCCAAAGCTCCTAAACTTTTGGGAAGCAGCAAACGTCAGCCTCTCCATGTCTCGATCTAACCAGAACTCCCGAGATAGGTCTCCATCATCCGAGTCCGAGCTTACTATGCTTCTCCGATCATCTGGGTCTTGATTATCAGACACTTTCCTTTCAACTTCAGGCTGCCCATCATCTCCTTCAAAGAAACCCATGTCGGCTTCCACCTCTTGAGTGACATTTGCAGCAAATTGCACATTGTCACCATCACTATCTCCTTCTGTATCCTCCAAATAGTCACTATCTTCTTCCTCATCATATTCAGAATCCTCCTCCAAATCGTCTCCAGCAAGCTTTTTTTTTGCCTTTTCTTAAACTGCCAGCACCAACTTCCTCAACTTCACTATCCATGAAATCTTCAACCTCATTGCTCGAGAAAGCATACAGCTCGATGACTCTTCCATCATCATTGGCTACAGTTGACATGCTCAGAATATCATCATAATCAGTAAGCTCCGACATTGCATCGTTGGTTGGAGATTTCCAATAGAACTTCGGATTTTTAATCGTCCCACCACACGCCGCATATATTTCAGGAAGGTCCAACAATGACAGTTCGTCAATGTCACATAGTCCCAAAACTCAGTGGTCTTCTCGTTCAGGAAATGCTCGCCGCCAACCTCTTTCAACTCATGAGACACGTGAACTGCAAATGTGAACTCTCCACTGGCAGCACCTGTTTTTAAACAAATAACAATTGAAAAGAGTTAATGTAAAAGGATATGAGTAGTTATGGAGTAGCAGAGAAGTAGGTGGTCAAGGACAAGAACTTCTATTAAAAGACAGAAAATGCCAAACTCTACTGCTGCATTTTCGTCATTTCCCATAACCCTACATTTTTTTTATTCGTAAACTACCCCAAGTGTTGTCCTTATCACTAATAAAGGCCAACTTGGAATGGAATAGACCAAACCAGACACCAATCTACCATAAAGACAAGAGCAAAAGGAGGGAAAACTTACGATATTTAGGCTGAGTTGAATTCGGAGCCCGCACATGCCCCACCATGTTTCCTTCAGTAGTGAAATGGTGACCTAAAGGAAAGGGACAAGAGTCTGCAGGTTAGTATAAAACAAAGGAAAACGAGAACTCCCAAAAGCTTCTTCTTCCCACTCGATACTTTCGTCTGACCCTTATTCTTTTCTCTTTTTCAGACTTTCCAGACAGGGTTCGAATAAACAAAAGCCAGAAACTCACCTTTAGGGTTTCGTTGTCGGAGAGAGGAGGAGTGTGAAAGCTTCGATTTAGGGTTTTGTAGTCTGCTTAAACAAGGGAAAATCAGGCGTGATGGGGAAGAAAATGTGTAGGGGGTTTGAACTGGGAATTGAGAAAGGAGTCAACCACACTGTGTGGCGGGCTCCATTCCTCCTTCGTCGCCGATGAAACGAGTGGAGAGGAAGAAAAACGCGAGAGATGAAGGCGGCACGGGTTTGGTTTGGTTAGAGGTTTGGTGACATGGAGGGTTTAAATGACGTGGCGGGTCGGGTCAGTCAATTTTCGGGTTAAAAGGTGCTGATTAGGCGAATCCGTCAGCCACGTCATCACTTAACGGACGCCGTTAACGGCGTTGGACGACAGCTAACGGAGAGTGACCATGAATGAATGGTTTTTGTAAAGTTAATGACCAAAAATGGATTTAAATATTCCAAGTGACCAAACATGAACGTTTTTTATAATCTCAGTGACCAACCATGCAATTAACACGCAACAATAATGTAGAGAGTTGGAACAACACTATATTGGAGGAAAGGGATTTGGGTCCGATTAGCATGTGGGAGGGGACTAGGAAGAACTTTATGCTCCTATACGCCCGTAGACAAGAAGAAATCAACAACTGGCCAAGTCCTTTGACGGAAAAAGTTGAGAAGAAGCTGCGTTCGTGGGAAGAAGAAGCTGTAAAGTGGACAGCTGTTTCAAATGGAAGGGGTCAGTTCGAAGTGAGGTGGCATGACAAGCAGGTTGTGGTCAATTTGAAGGCGAAGATATGCACATGTCGACGATGGGAGATAACTGGGATCCCTTGTCAACATGCTATCCAGGCAATTGGTGTGGGAGCAGATTGTATCTATGATTATGTTGCAAATTGTTACACTAAGGAAACCGCAAAAGCCATATATGAGCAGTCTATTTCGCCAACCAATGGTAAGGTCTATTGGCCACATTCTGAGTTGGAAGATTGTGGCATTCCTCCTATTCAAAACTCGAAGAAGAGAGGAAGACCAAAGAAACATAGGAGAAAGAGATTGGAGGAAGCTGTAGAAGCCAAGAAGAAACAAAAGAAGGGGGGAAGAGAAGCATCAAAACCGGAAGGGAAGAAATACAAGTGTAAAGTTTGTGGTGCACTAGGCCACAACAAGGCTTTCCATGATCCAGCAAGTAAACAGAAGGCGGAAGAAAGGAAGAAAGAGAAGGCAGAAGCAAAAAGGCAGCAACAACTTGAAAGGGCTAAGCGAAACAGACTTGCTGCATTGAAGAAGCAGAAAGAGAAAGCTGCAAAGGCTGCTGCTTCTTCATCGTCTAGACAACCCCCACATGTGGTTCAACTCATGCCAGATGTAAACGTTTATAACTTTATTCATTTTCCCGCCTTATTAAATATTTACAGCATACTAATGTGGGTTAATTTGCAGGGAAGTACTCGAAGGCCATCAAGTGAAGGCTCTCAACTCTCACAGATTGCAAGCCAAGTGACTCAGTAGAACAGCTGTGAAGAGTAGATTTAGGTCATGTAGTGGGCAGTTAGGTAGTTGTGAATGGTTATTTTGAACTTTTAAGCCTCTAAGGCCTTTTGCAAATCAATATGGATTTGCCATTTTTGTCATACAAGTCCATGGAAAAGGAACTTGTTAATTATGCATGGCTCTTTTGGACAACATAGTCGTTAGTGCATTAATTATGAATGAATCCTAGTTGTGATATGTTTGTTTCCAACTTAAATGTCAAATACTGTCATGCAGAACAATTAGGTATTGAAGTGTGGTTCCAAATCTGGCTTTCTCTAGTGAGCAAATATGTCCTTGTCTAGTGACCAAAAATGGACATCACATGTTTTTGGAGTGACCAGATGTTGATCCTGGCATGTTTTTGAGTGACCAGATGTGGACCCTTACATGTTTTTGAGTGACCATAGGTGGACCTTTACATGTTTTTTAGTGACCAAATGTGGACAGCTGCATATCTTTAAGTGACCATATGTGGACCTTTACATGTTTTTCAGTGACCAATCGTACAACTAACATAAACTTTCAGATACAAAACGTGAAATTTGATTTTTCTAGGGTTACAATCTACATTACAGAAACGATTACATCAGCAAGGTTGAGAAAATAGCTGCTTACATTCCCAATCCCATCCAGATGAAAGAAAAGACAAGAGCAATCACAATGAAGATGAACACTGGGCAACCATTAGCTTTGGACCCTTGCCCATTTTGCCTCTTCTCTAGTTCTCGAATCCGACGATGAAAGTTCAGCACCACAAACTTCATATGCTCGTTAACTACTGGGTCATGCCATCTGAAGAAATTACATGCCCCATCTGTCTACAGATCCAAGCACAAAAAAGAGAGGGATGAAGGAGAGGATGGTCGAATGGTATACAAATCAAAGCAGAAAAGTCAGAAATCTTACCCCATACTTGTTGCACCCGTAGAACCTCCTCCCTGGATTCGCCTATGTCCATCTCGTCTTGAGATCTTATGCCAATCCACAACGACAGAAAGGTGCCGCCATTAGCAGAGGAGAAGGGGATGAGAAGAAAGCCACATAAATAAGATAGATGGGTTGGGTCGGGTCTGGTTTGGTTAGAGGTTTGGTTAGGTTTAACAGACATGGAGGGTTTAAATGACGTGGCGGGTCGGGTCAGTCAATTTTCGGGTTAAAAGGTGCTGATTAGGCGAATCCGTCAGCCACATCATCACTTAAAGGACGCCGTTAACGGCGTTGGACTGCAGCTAACGGAGAGTGACCATGAATGAACGGTTTTTGTAAAGTTAATGACAAAAAATGGATTTAAATATTTCGAGTGACCAAACATAAACGTTTTTTATAATCTCAGTGACCAACCATGCAATTAACGCATAAACAAGTAATAAAATTATCGAATCACGGTCTTTAGATGTACCTTATTTCAACCTAGATATCGTTATCTAGTCAGACAAGAGTAGTCATTAAGAAAATAATATAGCTAAACTAACCTAAACCAATCTTAGTTAATTACAAGTTTGGAGCTCACTAAGGCATTGAATCCCTCTTATTCCTTCTTATGGGCGATTTTGATTACTTCTCTAGATTCATTCACTCTATACCTCTACCGCACTTCTATCTTCTTGACCAGTTCTGGTGAAAGAAGTCAAGCCAGAAGTCACTAAAAAAGAGACCTCTGCTTCCTCAGCTAAAATCTTTCTCTGGGGAGACTTTTCTGGATTCTTTCACTCTATACCTCTACCGCGGAGAATACTATTAAACCAGTGTTGTCAAAATCGGTCTAGCTATGATCCGAATTAGCGAAAGGTTTAAAGTTTATCGAATAACCGGTTTTAAAACCGGCGGCACAAAGTTTTTGAATAAAGTAATTACTACTTTACCCATCTGCGTATTCAATAGAAAATATTAAGTTTAATTAAAAGAGGAAGGGAAAAGAAAAGAAAAAGCATTCTAGTTAAAGGAGAAAGGGAAAATAAACAAAAAAGAGCATTCCTGAAGCTCTCAACTACTGAGTATGAGCAATCCGAGTTACTTTTTCCTTTGAGTTGTTCCACGAGTTACTCTAATATTGAAGATGATCATTAGATGACCGACAAGCATTCTCACTTGAGATTCACACTAGTGATACTATCTCGGACAGTGGCTTCTCTCTTCAACTCTAGGGATTGCCATCTCCATCTTGTACCCGCTCCTTGCTGCTGTTCCCGTGAAGCACAGAGCAGAAATGCAAGTACAGATGACGAAACAGATCTGCATATCCGCCTTCCAAACTAATTCTCTTGTGGGCGATCTGGCTAGTTTCAAACTTTTTCACGATCATCTGCTTTTAGTTCTGCCGACCACACTTTGCTCGTCATCGGATCTGATCTCGCCCTTCTAATCCAGATCCGGGCGGTAGAGCTCACCGGGGTGCTTCATCCATGCCGCCAACAACCCCTTCATCTGCTCCCTCAAAAGCAAGAAGTTCCTAGCCGCCGCCGAGCAAAGAGTGGAAACGTCCACCGTTATCCCAAAACCGCTGGCATGGGTTTGGCGGTTCTAGCGGGTAACCGGATGAACCGGTCAATATCCGGACGGGCATCTTTCTCTCCATTTTTGGGAAATCAGAACCGGCTGACATTTCGAATCCAGTTGACCGCCGGTCCGACCCGATTTTGATAACAGTGGGTTGAACCCCCTCTATTCAAGTGCATCTAACCCCGCTCAATTGTGGCACTCGGAGAGGTGTACCGAACAATTAGGAAGGCAATTGATGTGCTAACCACTTATTCCCACGATTGGGCGAACCCAACATGTTGTTATCCAATATGACATTATTGACCCTATCACCCTCATTTATCGATGAATTGGTAGTGCTCAATTCAACCTAGAGGGGTATTCTCTCTCCTAGGTAAAACCCCCTCAAAATGAGAGATGAAATCAAGATCCATAAAGTACATGATAAGTACTTCATTCAATATATAATAAAGAATCACAATCATAGGGTTGTCACATGCATCAACATCCAATCCATAATCTAGAACTAGGGTCATCAACCTAAGTGAAGAGGGCTAGTTCATAGAGGAGAGATTACAATACAAAACTCGAGATCTTCAATATCCATCTTATAGGCTTGATTTCCTTGCCCCAATCTCAATCCAAGCCTCCATTTCAGCCCCTAAATCACTCTAGATCACTCTCTCCTTAGAAACACATCTTTGCTGTTTTGGGTCGAAACACTCCGAGTAAAATCAAGTTCTTCTCTCTCTCTCTCTCTCTCTCTCTCTCTCTCTCTCTCTCTCTCTCTCTCTCTCTCTCTCTCCCTGCAGCTGGCTATTTACATGCCTCGAATGAACATTTCACGGTCAGAGATCATGTTCGTGACATCAACATCCAGGCCAATATCTCGGTTGAAAGTGTTGTGTTTCGAACTGAAGTTCACATTCTCCTTGAAATGATCACGGCTTGAGACCGTGATCTTGCCACTGCCCGCGAGCTTGGAGAATGCCTCTAGAACCTTGCTGAATTCATGGCTCGCGTCAGTGATCTTAATCTCTAGCCCGTGATCTTTGCCTCTACTTCACTCTTTGGTTCATTTTGATCTTCTAAATATCTCGAAACTTGCCTCGACCTTCCCACACCCACTAGGTCCTGAAATGAGACAAAATAAGCACAACCTATCGTAAAATATGTTGAGGAACGAAGATAACCAAGTCAACCAATCAAGATATGAATAGGTAAAACATGTATAAATACGCCTGAATCAAACTCCCCACACTTGTTCGTTTGCTTATCCCTAAGCAATCCTAACTCACGCAAGTGCAACAAATGCAAGAAACTCACAAATCACAATGATATGCACTATAGTTTGTTGGTAGCACGTAAAATACAATTGGAGATGAGAGAACGTTACTTCCATATGTTCGCGAAACACACTCTCGGATGGGGACCTTGCCGACCAAGGAGGTGTAAAACTTTTACGCATGCAACGGGGGACTCTCAAGAAAACATGAAAAGCAAAGGACTTCATGGTGGTGCTCCTACTTTCTTTTTCAAATGGGGACTTAAATTTTCGACTCTCAACTTAAACTTTGCCGTAAATGGCACCACACTTTGTAATTTTGCAAATTAAGGCATCCCTTTCTTGAGCAAAGAGCAGAAGTACATTGCCTTCTCTATCAAAGTCTAAAGTGGGGAACATGACAGTTGATTCATTGACATAAACACCAATTTGCAGCCTACACTCTTCGTTTCAACGACAGGCAAGTTGCCACACATGTGGGCACAAACGAGTGTCGGAGGTCTCAATGACTTGCTTTAAGGCACACTTTATCCTTAACATACAAGTCCTGAGGAGGAGAGGTGTTTAGGGGATGCAAAGTAGTAACTGATGGCCTCGACGGTAGAATGCTATCTGATCCCCAAACACATCCTTAAATGACACTCCGAACCGAGAAAAGCCCTTTGATGGCTTAAGTCAAACTCTATGGTCGGGTGCCTCTCATATGAGAACACTCTTTTTTTTTCAAAAGATATATATTTTTCAAATTAGAGCATCTTTGCAAAAAATATTGGAGTCCAAAAGGAGATAGAAGTAAACGTTATCAACACATCCAAGAGGAGATAGAAGTAAAGTTACACATGATAAAAAATCCTCGTAGCGCCACACTACTCCCCATAATACACACCATTGTAACGTCAAACTCTTCAAAGCATAATGAGTAGGTACATGCTATTGGACAATGTGTTGGAACCCTCATTTTTTAAGAAAAAATTTGGGCCGATAATCTAGGTTCCGAACACTCTTAATATAGGCCACATAGTCAATTCATTCACCCACATGTGCTTGGAGCCCTCAAATTTTTTATATTTGGGCATAAATTAAGGCTCCAATGCATTTATAGAATAGGCCAAACACTAATTCACACCACTCATTCACTCGCATACCTATCATGTAATACCCTCACACTTAAGCGCAACATTTTCCTCAATGGAGGAAAGATAAGGAGGGTTAAGCGGAGTTACCGAAATAGGTGTGAATAATGGCGGAGGGACTAGGAGGATGGGTGAGATCCGTAGAAGCGAGCCAACATCCAAAACACCACAAGCTCCCAAAGTTCGAATTATTG